CAGCCTCTAGTAACTGCAGTTCTACTCTCTACTTCTATAAGCTCAACTCCTTTTTTTTTTTCTATTTTTTGGCAGCTGGCCATTACAGGGATCAAACCCTGGACCTTGATGTTGTCAGCACCACACTCTAACCAACTGAGCTAACCGGCCAGTTCCTCAACTGTTTTGTAGCTCCCACATATGAGTAAGAACATGTGATATTTATCTTTCTGTGCCTGACATTTCACTCGACATGTCCTCCGGGCTCATCCATGTTGCCACAGATGATAGGATTTCATTCTTTCTCATGGCTGAGTAGTATTCTACCAACCACAGATCAAAAATATTCAGCAAAAAATAAAAAATAACAATACAACAGTAAAAATAATACTGATCGTCTACCTATTTACATAGCATTTACATTGCATTAGGTATTATAATTAATCTAGAGAAGATGTAAAGTATATGGGAGGATGAGCATATTATATGCATATACTATTGCCATTTTATATAAGGGACTTGAGCACCCATGGTATCTGCAGGGGTCCCAGGACCAATCCCCACAGATGACTGTATAGTTGATAGCACTATCCCTAAGACATTTCTGCTCAGCCATCTCGTATCTAAGGCCTCTACCGCTGAAGTCCTACACACTCTTCAAAATCCAGCTCACAGGTCACCTCTCCTGTGAAACTGTCCCTGGCTCCCTAGATGGATTCTTCCTGGGTCCCCTATCAAGTTTATTACACTTCCTTGCATTTCATTCTTTCCTGGTCTCCTTGAACTGTCTCCTCTACTTGACAGGGTAACTCAAGGGCAGGTGAAGCCAGGATGAGGAATAGAAAGTAAACTTTTAGGAACTAAGGAAAATACGGATTCTTCCTGGGTCCCCTATCAAGTTTATTACACTTCCTTGCATTTCATTCTTTCCTGGTATGTCTCCTTAAACTGTCTCCTCTACTTGACAGGGTAACTCAAGGGCAGGTGAAGCCAGGATGAGGTATAGAAAGTAAACTTTTAGGAACTAAGGAAAATATGTAGTGAAATAGCAAATTAAGGAAAAAGACTAAGTATGCAGGATGCTTTGGTCTACCGTGCAGGGGCTGGGGTCACGCTCCTTACAGAACACTGGTTCTCAAATTTTGCTGCCTGAGGAAATAACCTGGGGAACTCTTAAAAATCTTCATGCTAAGATTTTTCCTCCTATTTATTAAATCAGACTTTCTAAGGGTGGCAGTAGACATCACAGTTTTTAAACATTTCTCAGGTGATTTCAATATGCAGCTGTATTTGAGAACCAACATGGTTGAAAACAGAGGAAAAGAGAGGCTTACAGAGACCTTGAGGGTTTGTTGTTTACCTGAAAGATTTTCCAAACATAGGTGGTTAGTCTTATCCCATTAGGTTATTTCCTTCCAGGCATAGACAAAGGTGTATTTATATAATAAATTACTATTGATTGAAACACTCTAATGAGAATTATTAAAGGCCTCCCCTGTTTATTTAAGGCAGTTTGGTGCACTATGGGTCAAATAATTCTTAGGCATCTCTTGAAGTAACTAAATTAGAGCAGTCAATCAAGGAAATGAGAAAACAACCTTACTGAAGCTCATCTCACTTGTGACACACAATATGTTTAGATTGCTTTATCGACTTTACAAAGAAGCGTGCAAGACTGATCACAGGTGACATGTAAATTGCTCCTATCAGGATGTGAAGGGCCATATTACAAATTCAGTGTGAGTGTTGAACTCCATTATCAGCTAATGGTAATGAGAGCTTCATGCATTCGTTACAAGTAGAGAGTATTCCCACTTGGTATGAGAAAGTTGGCATCTCAGAAAGTTTTGTTCTGTTTTCTCCAAAAAATAAGAGAGAGGAAGTGGATTCTCTTAAATATGTTTTGAAACTTTCTTCTATTCAAAGATTTTGTAAGGAATTCAGGATTTTTTTAATTCAGTAAAAATGCTGTGACTCTCAGGAATCTTTCAGATGTTTAGGGAAAATTTGAGGGAAATCAAGGTTTTCAGAGGCCATTATTTCCTTTTTCACTGCGGATGTATATCCAGTTCCCAGGGGAGAAGAACATTCCGATTTTTCAAGCACATTTAGAGATTTCAGAAAATTGCTTTTAAGTGTGCCTTTGGAATGAAAGTTGAGGCTCTGGCTTTAGTTGATATTGTCACTTGTGAAAGGCAAGAAATTGCTTGGATTTGTGCCGTCAGTGAAACAGAAGGAGCCAGGAAATGCACTGGGCAAAACTGCAAAATCAGATGGATTCAACATGCAGCTCCCAACCAGAAAAAGAGAACTTGGAACGTGTGTGTTTGCCAGGAGAGAAAACTGATTTATTGAAAGGTTAATTTTCAGATTAGTTTTGGGAAATTTGAGATAAATAAATGAGATCAGACAAAAACCAGAAGGCCTGGATCCTTTTTCCTGAGGTTTTTAGAAAATAGTCATGCTTCCAATGAAATGTTTTGACATTTTCAATAGGGAGAAAATGTTAATTGCAATGTGATGTGTATGTGTTCTTAAAAACACTTGTGAATAAATTTTGTATTTGTTTTAAGAATAATCAGAAAGTAGAAACACTATTAAAATGTCCCCTGTGTTCTTTATTCCTTATGGTAACTTTCATGCTTTCTAGGATGTTGCAATTCATTTTCCAAGTTCAAATACACCGCTTGGAGAGAACATTCCTTTACTTGTTTTATAGTCCAGTTGCAGTTTTGGAGGAGTATTATTACTAACTTCCACACGGGTCTGCCTGGATTTCTTCTCTAGTTTTGTCTCATCTTTCATGTGTTCTATAATTCCTCATTGCCTTCTTCCTTTGGGTCGGTGGATCCTTTACTGCATAACAATGGTCCACTTGACTTTGTACATCTAATACACATGCTATTAAGCTACTTAGTGACAGTGAACGTGACTCTTTTTCTGAACAGCCAACTCTGTAGCTACCACCTCCCTGCTTTGTACTTCACAGAGACACCCCACAGTTTGTTGAGAAACTATCATACCCTCCTTTCTCCTGCCATATGCCTCTACCCCAAAATTGCATGTTGCAATTGCTGAATGGAACCACATGTCCAAAGCAGAGGTCTCACTGTTGAATATTACAATATTACATTGTCTGTGGTCCCCTTGGAGGGAAATACCAACAAGGTCACACATTCATGGACCAACATGAACCCAAATGGAAATGTCACCACCTGAGGCCCAGCCCTGCAAACAGTCTCCAAAAGAAACAGAAGGAACACCTGGCTTAAAAGAAAGCAGTTCCCGCCCTTACTGATGTCAAAATCTAGAACACGTGCGTATGTGTGGACATACCATCCACAGGGAGAAAATACCACTAGTAATCATCTTAGCAAGCTTTTATGATCTAATTTGATATGTGTTAACTTCTTAGTTAAAAGATCAGATGATTCTTACAGAAAATACTTTTCCCTTTTGGATCACTATCTTTAAACACCGGTTGCGAGAATACTACTTAAATCACATTAAAGCTTGAAAATAATCTCAAAAGTGGATTTGAGTGGGAATAAAATGACAGGTATACAGTTTTCTACGTACTACTGATCAGAGTGCTGTTAAGCACAAACAGAAAAGAACTGCTATAATATAGGGGTATTCCTCAGATAAGGGCCATGGCACTCACTCTGATGCCCTTGTAAACAAAACATAAATACAGAATTGAACAAAGGTAATTTAGGTTTTAGTAGATTAGTGCTAATGATGTAGAAAATGACCACGTGCAAGGAACAGACTAGAACTCACTCAGACACCAACAGCATTTTCAAATGTGGCCTTCCTTGGCATGTTTTAAACCCCAGTGGGATCAGCGTGTCATGGGAAGATGTTTGGATCCTGCTACTAAAAGCTAATCGGTAACATTCAACAAAAGATTCAAGCACTAACATTTGCACAACTAGATTAATGTTTTGCAGTCAGTTATCAGGCTCATTACTACTGGATTTTCTCTGGTTCACGCTAATAAACTAGATTATTGATTTTAGGATTTTCTGTGTATTCAAGGATATTCTCTAAGACATCTTTATAATGTTTCATGCTTAAGTTGTCAACCAAAATGACATAACAATGAGTAATCTTTTTCTAATCATGTTGAAAGGGGTTAAAAAAAAGAGTATAAAATGAATCTTAGCAGCTTCAAAGTAACAGAACATTCTCACGGTCACTCCCCTCTCTGGGTGCAGGTTATTCCACCGCCTGCCATCTTCCCCAGGAATTAGCTGCATGTACAGCTTAAGACCTTTGATAGTCATAAATCTGCTTTCCAATATGTTTGAATGGCAGAAGAGCTCAAAAGACACCTCGGTCTAAATAGGATTTTAGCACATCAGGTGCTACTCCAAAGTAAAGCAGGCTGGGTTGCTGTGGTGGTGTTTATTCATCTCCTTTCTCGTGTCATGTGTATGTATGTATGCTTCTCGGTGTATATGCTCGGCTCTCGGGTTGTATGGGGCTGGTGAATGCATGGGTGGAGTGTGTGTATATGTAAAGTAGAAACTGAACCAGGGTAACAAAATGAACTACTGTATGCAAGAAATATATGAAGTGCACCCAGCTGCCAGCAGCACTTGCTGCATGCAGTCCACTGATTATTATGCGTATTTTGAAGATAGTCCGGGTTACAGTGGTTGCGATGCTCAAGGGTAACAAAATGAACTACTGTATGCAAGAAATATATGAAGTGCACCCAGCTGCCAGCAGCAATTGCTGCATGCAGTCCACTGATTATTATGCGTATTTTGAAGATAGTCCGGGTTACAGTGGTTGCGATGCTCAGGCTGTGCCCAGTAACAACATATATATGGAACAGGCCTGGGCAGTGAATCAGCCTTATACCTGTAGTTACCCTGGAAACATGTTTAAAAGCAAGGACTCTGACTTGGACATGGCCCTGAATCAATACAGCCAACCTGAATATTTCACTGAAGAAAAACCTACTTTTTCTCAAGTGCAGTCGCCATCGTACTCTCAGAAAAAAGGTAGGGACCGTTTTGCTTAAATTTGTTCAAAGTTTCAGTGTTTGTTTCCATTTCGTTTTAAAGTTACAGTTTACATCGGCTTCGTCAAATCTTTGAATGTGAACGCTGAATATTCTAAATTAAAAACAGCAGTAAGAGAGGTTGCTATGTGATTGAAGGACTCTGTGAACACAAAGATTTCCAAGCACTTATTTTCTTCATATATGAAAGCTGGATTGAGTTGGTGTTCTAAGCTGTATATTGCCCAAAGTGAATATTTTCGGCTCTTTTGCTAAAGAAAATATGTCAAAGGTTTCCCTGGGGTGGATAGGTGTTGTGGTGCTTGCAGTGGGATAATTCTCCCCAGTTCAGGTTCAGATTAAAAATTCATTTGACTTTAAAAACTCACTTCATATTGAAAGTTTATGTTAGTTACCTAGTACAATATTTTAGTGATTTCTTTGACAATATACAAAATTGATGTGTCAGGATTTATAAATGTTCATTTTAATATATTACTTACCCATGTAAACTGTGAAGAATCTATTTGTAATCACATCAAACTAATGATGTAAACCCCAAAGAGAAGCTGATATGCTTTACCTTGCCCTTGTGTCCCTAAAGTTTAGCATGTCTGGAATCACGTCGCATACACTCTGTATGAAACAAGTGAAATATCCTTCAAAATATTCACTATTAGAACAAGTGCAATATCCACTTATCTTAATAGACACTGTGCCTTTATAATGCTATTTAAGTTTCTGTGAATAGAACATTTCTTGTATTACCAAAAAATAAAATAATAGAGACAAACAAGTAGTGCTTGGGGAACTTAGTAGCAACTGCCAGATAGAAATTCTCTCAAAAATAGCTTAAATTCTAGTGCGGATATGCCAGAATCTTGTTTTTTCAGTGTATGATCTACAGGATATTGCACAGGGAAACAAATTTACAGGCTTCTATAGTTTACGAACACATGATGTCCTTTGATCTTCAAAGGTAAATGTCTCTGTGAAAATATTCTTAAAAACATAATATGGTTTATTTGATTGTGGTTCTTATGAAAATTATTTGCTTTTCTTAATGCAACTCTATAATTAAAAGTAGCCTGTTATGAAAACAAATAATTTTTTTAAACTAACTAAAACTAAAATCCATTTATTTTTTACCATATATAGTGTTATTCTATAACTTCCAAATATGAAATATGAAGGGGGTTACAGCATAAAATATATTCAGAGTTGTTTATCTATATTTTCATTTAGTTTCCCTTGAAGAGCATCAGAATTTCTCTTTTATTACAAGGGGAGTTACACTGCGTAAGTCCCATTGGGGCATATTTGAGATGGATTGAGTATGTGCTCTCTAGTTCATTTAATATTATAAGTAATTTACCTTTGAAAAGAAGAAATTAACATTGCCACAGTAAACATACCTGGATATGCTTTTCATAGTGTTATAGCATCACAAGAAAACATTGGTGCCTGTCTCTCTACCCAGGCATTCTGCTATTCTTAAAATTCTTGCAGAACTTTTCAGGCTCTTTTCTCTTTTGTCTTTTCACTATATTTTTGTCAACCAGCACTGGGGAATATTTGCCTATAAAATATTAAACCAGGGATTCTTTACTAATTAATTTGATGTATGAACTAGAGGAAAAGACACATCGTATGCATATATGGATGTAATTTCCCAAAGCCATATGCCATTGAAAGGCCACTGCCACCTGCCAAACTCACTAAATCAAAGCAGGCAAATATTCTTAAATGCACCATTATTTACTGTTACAAGTCTTCAAGTAAATCCCAGTAAAACTAAACCCAGCTGTTAACTGTCTCTTAGGACAAAAGGTCATACCCAACACGTTTATCCATATTGATCCACTATTGATTCTTACTGTTGTTGGGGGACATCAGTAGTGTCTCATTAAGGCAAAATTAAGACTATAAACAGGTGTTCAGTGGGGCAGGCCTCATTTTCCAATTGGATTTTTATCTATTTTTATGATTTATAATTGCTTCATCTGTGTTTGTTGCTGTCACTACAGCTCTATAAACTCCTCAATAATGCAGCTGTCTTAACTTTTTTCTTTATTCTTTTAAGAATGGCTTATTCTCTAGCCTTTAATTATTTTCTAGTGAGTAGAAAATGATCATAATCTTGTTTTTTAAAAAGGTCATTGTAGGTTATCTTAATTGGTAGACTTTAGAATGACTTTTAGTTTTCTTTCTGTTGTTTTTCTATGTTTGTGCATTTGTAGCCAAGAGGGGGGAAAGTTATTGAGTTCCTGAGGAATTTAGAACATGTAAGAAAGAGTCAGATTTCAGTTCATTGAGTCACATTTCAAATAAAACTTCAAGAATTGATGGGATGGGGGAGTCAATGTAATTTTCACATTGAGGAAGGGTGAAATGCAGAATATAGTATCTGTTTTATTTTCCGTATGAAATATGAGAAAACAAATTTTAATTTTTAAAAGTTAGGGACAAATAAAAAGAACCCTACCGATCACTGAGAGCTCCTTACGTACTGTCTCTCGAGTAACACAGCTATGACTTATGTTCAAATCAACGATCACGGCCAGTTCTGATGGCACACTTCTGGTCCCCACTGGCTCAGGAGGAAGAAGAGGATACCTTTGGAAATGGGATGGCAGAGAATTGGCAGTCAGGGTGTTGTGCCTTCTCCTCCGTGGCTGTGGATTCAGCATAGTTAAAAGTTGACATCTTTCTTTTCCTTTCTTTTTTTGGGGGGTTGGCAGGGGCTCGATCTTTTCACCAGAAATTCCAATTACATTCCAAAGTCCCCAAACAGCTCCCATCTGCCTACTCTGAAGACAGCTCTGCCAGTCGGCCTCTTGGTCCATTTAAACAGAATCCTTCCCAGGAGGCTGCCCCATGCGACTCTCGGCACTGGATGGGGCTTCCACATACCATCTTTGTATGAAGTGTGTGCTGAAAAAATGCATTAGAGCTGGTCAACATGTCCAAGAAAACAAGAATTTCCTGTTTTTAAGCCAGGATCAAGGAGATGGGGTGTGTTTGTCCTGTTCAGTTCTGTTTTTGATTGTACGTGCGCTTACTCTAGCCACACTTTTAGTTTTGCAGAACAAAAAGTTAATAACTAAAGCAGAAACTCCACATAGAACTGTACTTTCTGAATCTGCTTTCACTGCTGCTGCTGTGTCTCAGAGACAAGATTCTATGGGATTCTGTCTTGTTTTGTGTCCTGTAGCTCTGTTGACTCCATGTAAACAATTGCATAGACATTACAAATGGAAATCAAATGGCAAGTTGGGGGATGTTTGAAGTGACCCACATCAAGAGGATTGGATTAAAAAGAAGAGTTAAGCCCCAAAGAAATAGGATCTCTAATTAGAATTTATTTGGCCTCTTTTAAAGTTAGAGAAGGATTGCTATGCAGGAGAGCTGGGGATGGGGAGGCTCCAAATTCTGCCACTCCCAAAAATTGTCACATGAGAAACAGGTACCCTGGAGTCACACTTAGTCTAGTGAAAAGCAGGCAGGAAAGGAAGCCAAAAAAGGGAAGATTTAGCAACTCCACTGCACAATTGCTCCCAGCCACAGACTTGAATATGAGGTGGCCACACGGCTGCAGTTTCTCTTTCTCAGCCTTTCCATCCCTTCCCTCTCTCTCTCTCACTCCATCTTCCTCTTTCTCCCCCTCTCTCTCCCATCCTTACTTTTCTCCTCCAGTAAAATTTGTTTAATTTAAACAAAGACGTGATCAATGAACTGTTGAGTTTGGCAGAAATCATCTCTTTAAAATGTCATACTTAAGTGATTAATGCAATCGCAGATTTTTCTACAATGTGTATATAATTGCAAGGATGCTGGTGTGAGGTTAGGATTTTTAATTAGACACTGTCACCTATACACTGTTTAGGGACTCCAGAAAACAATACTACCATTTTTTAAAAATACAGAATACATTTGCTGTTCTAAAGGTTAAATGAAAGTGCCTCTCGACACTCAGAAATGGAAGCAAAGTAAGGAGCAGTAATAGTTTCCAAACGAAGTCTAAGTGCAGACAAAAGCATGCGCTGACTCCTTTCCCTTTTCTTTCCTGGGAATTAGGTATCTGTTTGTCAAAGTCATGTCCTTCAGAGATTTCGCTGGATGCCCTAACCTCATCCAAAGCATGCATTGCCAATCCTCATGATGAAAGCTAATGGTAGGGGTCCAAGGCTTTATAAGCAGATGAAGCCAAGTGCCTGGCAGACTTGTAAGGGAGAGGGCACTGTTTTTCCTGCATGCGGGCTTCACATCCGCCATTAATACTTGTCCACAGTCAAGCTCAAAGCTTTTTTCTCAGCTCCCAGCACTCAAGTGTGTTCAGCCTGAGGTCAAGTTGCTTCCCACTCTACCGTTCCCTCTGGTTCAGCTTTTATGACACCGTCTTCTCATGGGTCCTGTGCTTCACCAGTCCCCACGTGGTATCTCTATTCTTCCTGTCTCCAGAGCCTTGTGCCTGTGGCACTTTCTTGCGCTGTCCTTGGTACCACCAGCATCTCAGCTTCCTCAGCGTCAGCTGCTTTAGAGAATTTCCTCTGTCCTCCCAGAGACTCCCAGAATGTGCTTTCAAGTGGGCATCCCCCGCACCCCCTTTTCTTATCTGCACACACCTCCAGCCATCCTGTCCTCCTTCCATCCGTGTCCACCCCCTTGCCCTTGAAGCCTTCTGCTCCAGCCACTCAGTGCACCCACCACAGGGCTCCTCCTCAATGTTTCAGGCCCTTTCCCATGACCCAGGAGATCAAACACAAATTCCACCAACTCTTCCCTGCCCTAGAGAGTTCCATTTTAATGCTGGCTTTGTGCGTCTACCCACACCCACTGTTCTAGAAATCTTGGCCAGTCTTTCTATGGGTCCCTGTCTCAGCAAACCCTACCCCTCAACCCTGAACGAGTGATGCTTCCTTCCAGCTAGCACCCCTGCCATTCCCCACCTGCATCACCTCAGGTCACTAACTCAGCTCACAGCCCACCAGCTCCTCTATGTAACCAGCACCACTCTCTCTCTATCACTCCCACTCCCAACCAGCACTGCCTCCAAAAGCATGTTTCTCTTGTTCTATACAATAGCTCTAAATCATTTGTATAAATCATCTTTTTTAAAAACAATACATTAC